GTATTTCTGAGTGTTTTATGTGCTGCAGAACAGGAACCTGCTGTAAAACAGCAATTATGCTGAGTCAAGCTTGATTTTTAGTAATCTTTTCCTGTTAAATCAATAAATCAAATCAATCAATCATTTTAACATTTGATCTGATCCAATTTCTTCATTTTTTCTCTCTTTGGTTTCAAATCCCATCTTCTATGACAGCTCTAAACAAGCCGTTTAGTATTCTCCATTGCAGCGGGCTGTGGGTTTATCACCAAATGATGCAGTGCCTCAGCTTTGCTTCATATTCCTTTCACAGTTAGCGGACGCGCCATTTATTTATCAAGCTGCGCAGTTTTGTGCGCAAGGACAGGTTGAATATGTCTCAACTTAATGAAAACCTAATCACTTGTTGTCAAAAGAAAATAAAAATAACACCCTGCCTGACTATCCTTTACTTTGCAGCCGGCCGACCGAAGAGCCTGCTGGTGTACATCAATCCGTGCGGGGGGAAGCAGCGAGGCGAGCGGATTTACGAGCGGGAGGTGGCTCCGGTGTTCCGGCGGGCCGGCATCTTTACGGACGTGATTGGTGGGTCCCTATCAGTGCCACTCGGCAACATTTAAATAAAAAATGAGTCTCGCCGGCCGCCGTATAGATCTCTGCTGCCACTGTGGCCTCTCGCAGGGACCGAGGAGCCTCGTGCCGATATGATTTGGCTTATGGCTGCATTAATCACGCCACAACCTTAATGAAAGCTGTGATACTTGATAGGCTCGTGTATCCAAACACATCTATTATTCAATAAGTGTTTTGCTACTGCAACACACAGTCTGGAGTATTGATGGTCCATCAGAGTGGGAACTATTCACACTGGGGTTCCTATAGCTGCTTTGAATTGCAATGATTATATTTGTGTTGGTATTATACGGCTGCTAAACAGATTTACTGTTGAAATGCTGTTTTTGTTTTGTCTGTCTCAGGGTTCATTTTGTTAATATACAGTACAATAGCTGAATTAGGCCGTGTGTGCCTCTGTGCCGTGGCGTTTTCTGAATATTAATCTGCTCAGCGGTGAACAAAACTGCACGGCTTTTCCTGCGTCTTCTATATTAAAATGCCCCCACTTGTAATAGCAGTCAACAGACGCAAAAAAAAGAAAACTTTCAGTGATTCTGTTTGCCTTTTATTGCACTAACAGTTGCCGTTTAATTGGTTTCTGCAGTTACGGAGCGAGCCAATCATGCCAGAGACCACTTGAAAACAGAGGCCAATCTAGACCAATATGACGGGTGAGTACTTCACAAAAGGGAGCAGGATTGTAACATCGATTCTTCACCCTGGTATTTTGCTGACTCTTGCCTTTTCACGTTTTAATAAAGCTGATGTGAAGCCGTTTAAAGATCCGCTGCTCTGCAATCTGTGTTAAGTCGACCGATCATTGCTAATGATTAGTAACGCGAGCATCTAACGTCCCAAACATTCTGTTTATTTCATCCCCGTACAGGAGTTTTGTTTTTAACTGCCACGCATTAAAAGTGACAACTCTCTGACTTGCATCAAGGTCATGTTTTCAGCTGAAATTGTACATTGTTTGAGCAAAGCGAGAAGCAAAGTGAACTAAAAGAGACCCTCCCCACTCCCCCCGCTGAGTGCCTTGTCGTTTCAGCTCCCATTCATCTTATATTTGTTACACCAAAAGCAGGGTTAGAGTCCATTATGCCTTTATTCTGCAGTACATGTAATTTATAGATGCATTTCAGTGGGTTTTGACTTAGACCCAGGAAGCTGTAATGCCTGGTGGCACAGCGTGATATTCTTATTTATTGTAGGGTTTCACAGCTGCCCCGTTTCGTTATCGTCAATGTTTTCTTGCTATGCAGTCTTTTCTTTTTTTTTTTCTTCAGGATTTTGTGCCTTACTACAAACACATGTACGTGTAACTCAACTCGTTATGTGACAACCAGTGGGGGAACTATGCTCTGAGGTAAATCAGAAAATAGACTGGTGACAAGTCTAAGCTGTTCATTTCCTTTTGTCTCTCCAGGGTGGTGTGTGTGGGTGGAGACGGCATGTTCAGTGAGATCATGCATGGGCTGGTTACCAGGACCCAAACTGACCACGGTGTAGACCAAAACCAGACAGATGCTGCGCTAGTGCCGTGTTCTCTACGCATTGGGATCATTCCTGCAGGTGGGCTTTGGTTTTGAATCTGCAACCTTTGCGACATCATGCAAAATCCACTTTTTTTAGCCGTTAAATACTAGCCTGGTAAAAACCAGACCCTGTCCTTCACTTTGCTTTGTACAAGGGTCTGGACTTGCTGCATAGAGAAGCGATTCTTGCTGGAGGCGTGGCCTCTGCTGAAGCATGTGCGTATTGTCGCTGTGAAGGAGGCTAAGCTAAGAAGCTAACCGGAAATCGTGTGTGCTGTAAACAACCCTACTGAGAGGAGAAATATACCAAGCCGAACGAGACGACTGTAAATGAGAGCTGCTGCTTTGTCAGATAAATTTATTTTAATTTGGATGCTTTATCAACACGGACTGGCTTCATTCACTTTCTCTACTGCCGTATGCTAAAATAACTAGCAGACACTGCACAGAAAATTGACATCGTTCAAAACTCCGCCTTCTATTTGCTGATTGGCCCAGGTAAAATAAACTACAAGCAGACACTGCACAGAAAATTGACGTTCTGCTTTCTGATTGGCCTGGCTAAAAATCTGCCAGCGAAATCCTTGTCTATGGGAGAAATCCCAGACGGAGCAGTGAAGGGAAACTAGAATTGAGCGGAACTGCATAAGAAGGCAAGGGCCAGGCTAGTTAAATACTAAATTAAAAATTTCTGCTCTATAGAGACTCCAAGCACACAACAAAATGTATTTAATGGTTAAAAATGTGTATTTGTACGTATATGTCTTCTTTAAATAGACAGCACAAGTTGATTTGGGACACACCCCAGAAAAGGGGCGTGGCTTGTGGAGTTAAAATAAGGAGGAATTCAAATTCAAGCAGTTCCACTTTAAATAGACCCAAACTGAATTATTTAAATGTGAAAGGAAGGATTTAAATCATGAAATGCCTCAAAGTTCTAATGTGTATTTTAAACATTTTTATAGAAATATCTCTGTCTTTTAAAAAGGGTTTTGTGCTGTAGTAAAAAGATACTGCCACAATGGAGTCATGAATTCATTCATGTTGCTGAGCAAAAAAAAAACATCCTATTGCAGCACAGCTAAAAAAGCACAGAGTTCATTGTAGCTGAAGTGATAAGGATGATCTGACTGGCGAGACATTTTTTTTTAGGCGAAATGCAGATAAAACCCAGAGCTGCTCAGCTGAGGATTGTGACAATTCTCTCCTCTGAATATGCCGACAGACGACTGAGCTTGAGGAACTGAAGGGGGATAAAACGTCAAGTGTCTGAGGGCTGAACATCATGTACACCAGTTGTACTCTTTCAAAGGGACGTGGCTTCTACGTGGTAGCTTTAGAAGAATAAAACTGTGGTTTAATGTCACCATTTTTACATCCAGACGAAAAAAGGAAGGAGAAAAAATAAAGAAGCAGGCACTGCAGGGCTGTCGAAGTGTTCAGATTATGAAGGTCAGAGGAAAAGAAGCAAAGGCCAGATAAGTGATATTCATAGAAAGCTCAAGAAGGCAAAAGAGCGAGCTCATCTTCTTACTCATCTGTGTGTCCGTCTTCAAATGACAGGCCTGATCTCCCCCTGTCACGCTTCTGTGAGCCAGCTCAAAACATCACTAGTTAGATTTCTCTCTCCTCCCTTTACTCTCACTTCATCTTTTATCAGTGGCAGTAGCTCCATATTACCACTTGAAGATGATCAAAGTTGGGTAGATGGGTCTAAAATTACTCCACGAGGGCGCAGAGAGAGAGCGATAGAGCCTTATTACCTCTCAAGTTGAAAGATTTAATATCAAACTCAACATTTCTCACAAGGCGGGGAATGCCTCTTATCCTTCATTTGTTGGCTGAAGAGTGCTGATGAGAGCCCGGAGCGACAAGATTAGTTAACTTCAGGACTGCCGTCTCTCTTTACTTCTGCCTAATAAAATCATTCAACTACGTTTGGCTTCCTTGGTGGCAGCTTTGAAAGACACTTAATTCTGCTCATCACCAAACCTTTCATGTCACAAGTGACTACTAGACTAGCAAAGACTTATTTTACCGGTCCTTATTACAGTGAAACTAAAGAAACCATGTCCCTTTTTTAAACATTGGCATAGATTCAGGATGTTATGTTTCTTTGACTTTCTCTTGGGAAATTGGACGTGTAAGAAAGAAAAAGCACAGCTGAGATCTCATGAGGACGGCATAATTGCATTGGGGGTTTATGTTTGCAGCCTGGCAAAAACTGAAACAGCTTTGGTGGCTGTGGTTTATAAATAAAACAACAAAAACAAAGTAAAACAAAAACAAGTAAAAAGAGAAAACCTGAGTTTTTTTTTAGGTCCACTGATAAAAGTTCAGATGATGCCACTTCACAGAAACCTGTTACCATCATTATCTGCCAACAGTTGGTTGAAGCAAGCATCATACAAGTTAGAGACCCTTTAAGACCAGGATGGGACACTAATGAGTGGTGTGGTAGTACTCCAGACCAGTCTTGGTCTTACGACTGATCTTAAGACAACTTTTTGATGGTTTGTCTCAGACTCAACCACATTTGTACTCGTTTTGTCTCGATCTCAGACATTGATGACTCTGGATTTTCTTCCGAGACCACAGCTGTGGAAATATCACTAAATTTCCAGAATATTGTCCAGCCCCTAAAGGTCTTGGTCTTGACTATGTTGCACCCTCCCTCAAGTCTTGGTCTCGACTTGGTTCAGCCCCTAAAAGTCTAGGTCTTATATCAGTCTCAGTGCACTCTGGTATTGGTCTTGACTTGGTCCAACCCTTAAAAGTCTGGTCTTAACTCAGTCTCACACTCCCTCGGTCTTGATCTCAGTCTCACCGTCCCACGATCTTGGTCTTGAATTTGTTCAGTGCCTAAAATTTTTGGTCTTGACTTGGTCTTGCCCTCCCTTGATCTTGGTCTTGACTATGACCAGTCTCTAAAAGTCTTGCTCTTGACTTGGTCTCACCTTCCCTCAATTTTGTCCAGCCCCTAAAATTCTTGGTCTCAGTCTCAATGCCCTCTGGTCTTGGTCTTGACTTGGTCCAGCCCTTAAAAGTCTTGGTCTTGACTTGGTCTAAGCCTCCCTCAGTCTTGATCTTGACTTGGTCCAGCCCCTCAAAGTCTTGTTCTTGTCTTGGCCTCAACGCACTCTGGTCTTGGTCTTGACTTGGTCTCACCCTCCCTTGGTCTTGGTCTTGACTCGGTCTCACCCTCCCTTGGTCTTGGTCTTGACTTGGTCTCACCCTCCCTCAGACTTGGTCCAGCCCTAAAAGTCTTGGTCTTGATCTCTGTCTCGATACACTATGGTCTTGGTCTTGGCTTAGCCCAGCCCTTAAAGTATTGATCTTGACTTGATCTCACCCTCCCTCAGTCTTGATCTCAACTTGGTCCAGCCCTAAAAGTATTGGTCTTGTCTCTGTCTTAATACAGTCTGGTCTTGGCCTTGGCTTAGCCCAGCCTCTGAAAGTCTTGGTCTTGACTCTGTCTCACCCTCCCTCAGCCTTGGTCTCGACTTGGTCCAGCCCCTAAAAGTCTAGGTTTTTTCTCAGTCTCAATGCACTCTGGTCTTGGTCTTGACATGGTCCAGCCCCTCAAAGTCTCAGTCTTGTCTCGGTCTCAATGCACTCTGGTCTTGGTATTGACTTGGTCCAACCCTTAAAAGTCTTGGTCTTGACTCAGTCTCACACTCCCTCGGTCTTGATCTCGGTCTTGCCCTCCCTTGATCTTGGTCTTGACTTTGTCCAGCCCCTAAAAATATTGGTCTTGTCTCTGTCTCGATACACTCTGGTTTTGACTTGGTCTTGGGTTTGGTGGTCTTGACTACAACACTACTTACTGAGTGCTTAGCTGGACCTCAACATGGACTGAGATCATGGTGCAGTCACGAGAACATGATGCCAAAAACAAAGAGCGTAGCAGCATCCTGATTGCCTTCACATTAAAGAAGATTTTACAAATTTACTGCAATCCAACCACGCTAGATAAGGTTGTGAAGATGATCAGAGGGTCTGGAGTGTATTTTGATGATGACCGTTCTTCTGTGTCTTCAAAATCTCAGCAGTGATGGGATGATTAAAGAAATGACTGTAGACAAAAGGTATTCTTGAACAGTGAGGGTTATTCAGAATAACAGCCTAAACCAAATTAAGAGACTCATGGTGAATTATGTGAAGTACTCCCCTGAACTTCTGGGTTCACTGCTTTTTATAAAGAAAATCCACGTCCCACTGGGATGGGCTTAACAAAGCAGAATCGACACGCAATTCCTTCTATGGTAAAGGAGTTGGCTCCTGAGATGTATTTTGAGACACACAAACATGTTTACCACTAAAGCTGTTTTTAACAAGTGAGGTAAGGATTAGCACATTTTTCCCATCCTTATAAGGAATTGCTGAGACGTTAATTTAAGAACAACTCCTGACTGAAACACAATTCTGTAGGATGACTCCATACACCTCAGATCATTCAGGCTGGACAAACACTGCATCTTTATTTTTACTGCTCTGTCTGCTGCATCTTTCTGTCAATACAGTGTAGGGGTAAGGTACAGTGGTGCTGGAGTCAGGATAATGTACCTTTCATGTCTCAGCAAAGCACATTATTATGCATTGCTGATGTTCGTGCTGTGTATTTGACAGCGCTCCACGGGGAATGTAGGGTCTTAAAATGGATTTAAAAAGCTCAATGAGCTCCTCCAGCATGTAAACAATTTTCCTGTTTGCCGGGTTAGACATCATAAATACATGTTCACTATCCACTGAAGTCAATGGAAATCACTAAAGCAGTGTCGTCTAAACAAGCGTGAAATGTTCTTAAAAGATTTTTGCAAGAAGAGACACCAGATTCCTGCGTTATGTGTTGCGTTATCAACCGCTAGTGTGTTTGCAAAATATTTCAAGATCTATTGGACCGATTAATTAAAATCCCAAATTAATCACTTAACTTTTAATGTTAATCTGATTAAAGAAGGCCGCCACAGACAACTTTAGCAACACAAAAATGGCTGCAAAAAATGGTCAGTTTTTCAGATGTTCAGCTCAAAATTGGTTTCCTAGAAGCTTAAAAACATTTCAAACACTTCACTTAACGGACCACGCATACCTTCAAGAAATTCTAGTTTTGTTTTTTTCTATGACATCATTAGATCTGCAGAAATATGAATGACGGTAACTAGAACATAAATTCATCTATGACATTGAGAAATAACATTCAGAATCATGTTGTTGGGAGTGGCATAGGTTCGTAAACATATAATATATTTTTTCTTTTTGTGTCTTTTTACCAATAGGTTCAACAGACTGTGTTTGCTTTACCACCGTGGGAATAAACGATCCAGTTACTTCAGCCTTACACATCGTTGTGGGTGAGTGGAAGTCGGGAACAAGAGCTCCCAGCATTTGTTTTATCAGCATGACTCAATAAAAAATTGTTACATCAGCTGGTCTTGGGTTTATCTTTGTAAGGTCATTTTATTTCCTCTTCACTTGTGTCCGAACAGGTGATTCCCAGCCTTTGGACGTTTGTTCAGTTCACCAGAACGACGTTTTCCTCAGATACTCCGTCTCTTTGCTTGGCTATGGTTTTTATGGAGACTTACAAGCAGACAGTGAAAGAAAGAGATGGCTCGGTCCTGTCAGATACGATCTGTCAGGTAGGTTGGCAATCATTTTTTAAACCTGCTGAAACTACTTAATTTCAGCTTCTTCTGCAAATTCTCAGTGAAGATATCCACACTGATTTTTTTTTTTTTTCCAGAAAATGCAACCACTCTAGTCGCCTTTAGGGGGAAACAGATCTTGCATGGTCTTGTTTTATGACAATGTAACTTTAAGTTTCCTCCGGATGCAGGCTTCGGAGGATTAAATGTATAAATCTAACACAGCCTCTGGCCTGTACCAGTCAGTGCTTCTGCTTCCTCTCCACTGAGGCCCAGCAGGCTCACCCATCCATCCAGACCACACATAAATACACCAAGTGTTCCAAAAAATGCAAGACATGAAATCAGACTAAATAAAACTGAGACCAACCAAGCAGAGGGGGTAATTCAAAGTGTAAAAAATACAAAATATGAGTTGAACTAATCATAGCTTCAAATCAAACAAGCTCCTGTTTATTAAACCAATGTTCTATGATGAGTTTTCCTCATTTACTTGAGTTCTATTTACGAAGAACCCGAAATACCCTGCGGGGCAAACTAATACTATTCAGTTCTGTCTTATATCTAAATTTTAGTTCCAGCAGAATTCACTACGAAACACAAAACCTCTCCTTGCCCGTGTCTCTGCTCTCTGTGGAGCAGTGAGTCTTCTGTAGGTTTGAGAAATCAGCTAACAAATCACAGCAGATGGTCTTAAGGGGCTTTAAGACCAAAAACAATATGTGCTGAACGCAGCAGAGAGGCGCAGCATCTCACTGCAGATTTAACATAAAATAGGCTGTGTTGGTTTTCCCTCCCTTTCTTCAAGGGTCACTACTGTGAGCAAACCTTGAAAAAAAAAACAGATGTCCTTCCTGATCCAACCGTACAATGCTGTTAGAGTAAATGTTATCGATACCGCTCAGCTTCTAACTCAAACTGTAGCTCAATACCTGTAAAACTGACAGGCAGCCATCTTCAATGGGGTTGAGTGGTAAACACTGAGGTTGCTATGAAAATGCCATTGTTATTGTGCAAATTCAACAAGCTCGAAAAGCACATAGCTTAGATATTCATGAAAATTCTCATCTACAATCCTAAAGGAGAGTTTAACCCAAATCAGTTTAGAGCAAACACATCGAGTATGTACAACGGTGTAAATTTACCTGTTCAATCTGTGCAATTATAACGGCGTTTTCATAGCAAACCTCAACTTTTTCCCAATAAACTCGTGAGGTTTGTGACCATTTCTAACTACAAAATGGTCGAGAACATATCAGAGATTGTGATAGCTATTCCWTTTTTTATAAACTGTTTGTATTTATTTTTATCTTCCCAAGACAACGGATGAAATTTAGCTACGGTGCTAATTTTGGAGCATTTATATTCATAGAATATTGGATTTGTCCTTTTAAATGAATAAAGAAGATGAAAGTGCTAATCACCGTTTGCAAACACAGAGTCTAACTCAGTCAATTTTTTAAGATTTTGAACTAAAGTTTGATGTATTAGCATAGAGTCGTCCCCAACGCTCCAGGTGCTCAATAAAGATATTTATTTAAAACTTTGACTTATAATGCAGCGAACAATATGCTTCCCTTTGAGTTAATCTTACTTCTGTCATGTTTGAGAATAATTTGCATAAAATTAGCCACATAGAAAACACTAACAATTGCTTTTTTTTTGTTTGTTTTTTGGCACAGGAGTAAAAACCTTCCTGCGTCACAACATCTACAAAGGCAGCGTCTCTTTCCTCCCTGCAGAGAACAGCRTAGGACACCCGAGGGACAAACAGCCATGTCGATATGGGTATAAATAAAGTCACTTTTTAGCTGCTTTATACAAAGTTTTAACTTATTCAATGGCGTTCAATAGTAGCATCACACTTTCCAGAGCTTAAATGGAAGGCTAAATTATTGAGGCCATGAAAGCCCATTTACTCCCATTTACAAAGCTCCTGACTAAGTGTGCTGTTTGATATTCTGAGCACAGACATCATTTACATTTGTTATGGGATCTGAAAGCCATTATTCTATAATATAACATCCTATTTTACATAAAAAGTGATGTGAATCTGCTCCAAATGATTCTTTGTAGCTGCTGACAAAAGTGCTCAAATGTAAATATGGGAGTTAAAAAATGGGCTGAATATATTTCAGCTTAATGAAACATAAGAGTGTGTTACAGCCGCAGTGATGGTTTTAATGATTGTGAAACAAGGTTACGCTGGTGTTTCAGGTGCCGCGTCTGTCAGCACTCAAAGGACGAGCGCGACGAGACGTCAGGAGAGAAGGAAAAGCCTGTTGACGGTACGAGTTCGTTATTTTATATGTGCCTCGTTAATCACAGGGAAGAGCCCATTTCTCACTCCTCAACCTTGTTATCTGCTTCTTTCTTCATGTTGACACAACTAGTGTTAAAAATGAGCATTTTCACAAGGTTTAGTTTGAGATTACAGGAAATAAACACACAAAAAGAGAAGAAAAACCAACACTGGCTGACTTTCTGAGCACTTAATCACATAAAACTGGGAAGATTTGCATTTTTTTCACTATTTTTTTGGAGCTGGAGTTGGATGGAGTGTAAATAATGGTGTCATTATATCTGTCAAACATTTGTCATTTTTCACTCCATGTTTTTTTATATATTTTTTCTTCTTCCTGCAGTGTGGCAAAGCTTCTTAATGAGGTATTGATGAGAGAATATGATCTGGTTTTAGTGATATTACACAGCTCCGGCTGTGTGCCCTGCTGGAGCCTCTTTGTGTCGCCTGCAGCTGAAAGGCAAAMAGTAGCTGATAACGATTCTGTCTGTGTGTGTGTGTGTGTTAGCAAAATATCTAATGGACCACTTGACAAGCTAACGACGCCGTCAAAAAAAGTACACATATTCACACTGCAGACAAAAGTGACAAATCCGATATTTTCTGATATTTTTACGACAGTCTAAACCAGACAAATCTGGTGTTTTTTTTAAGCAAATGCCAACACTAACACTTCATCAGTGGGGTTAAAATATGTACYAGGGGTGTAACAATACATCAATCCACATCCAKATATTGATTAAATGATTAATGATTAATGAATTAATGAATGATTAATTCACCGAGGGCCCCACAAGGCTGTAATTAACTTTGACTAAACAAATACCGTTCCTAGTCTCACTGCTAAGTCTGAGCACTGCTAACAATAACTGGGCTCTATGTGGTATTTCCTGCATAGAAACAGTGTTTTTACATGTCCTGTAAACACTGAAATGTACTACGTGTACAACTGACTAAATGTGAAAAAATAATACAGAAATACTATTAAAAGTAAAAGTAATAGAGTTTTACTCACTGTTGAGTAGCTGCCACTTTGAGTTCTGAACTCTCCCACTTTCTGAAAAGGAATTCCCACTGGAGGGGTGTTACAGTTGAAATTTACAATKTGTTTGTAAGTGGGAAATTCTCAATTCCCAGTACAATTGGGCAAAAGTAGTCGGTGAAAATGCACATAATGCACGGCAAATTTCACCAGCTGTCAGCTACTTTTGAACTCTGTGCAGCCCCACCTAGTGGTGGGATGTCGTCATTTCACAGGTAAAATAATCAACATGCATTTTGGGAAATGTATTTCAGTTTATGGTAAATTATGGCTTTAAAGCAGCGTATTGTGGAGACATTAATACAGGGCTTTTGAACTAAATTGGTCAGGGGGCCACAGTAACTTGACTTTGAATTTATTTCACAAAGAGACAATGCACGTTAATCAACACAACACACTGTGCTCTGTCTTCTTCTGGTGTCTATCTTGTGTCCTTTATGCCCATCTTGTTCCTCAGTCTTTTCTGGTTCTTTCTAGTTCATTCCTCTCACACCTGTCTGTGTCTGTAATCACTCAGCCCTGTCACTATTTAACTGGTTCTTCTCTTCCTTTTACTCATCTGTTCATTGTTTGGTCCTACCCAACTCCCCACCTGTGAGTTATTTTGCCACCACGTTGGCTTTTGATTTAATAAATATTTTTATTACTTTGAGCCTGCCTGCATATTGGGTCCTTACCCAGCCTGTCAGCAAGCTAATTTCATGTGTAGTCCCCTAGCAGGTTGAGGGGGGAAAATTTTCAAAATTACAATTAACATGCATAAAATATCATTTATGACAGATTTCTATAACTAAAAAGTAGGGGTGCAACAATACATGTACCCGTATTGAACCGTACCGAACCGTACCGAACCATACAGATTTAAAAAATTTGCTTTATCAACATGTCTTCTGAAGATGCTCTGTGTTGAAGGATCAGTGGATCTGTGTTCGACTACTCCACCTAGGCTGCATTTTTGAGCGCAGATCCACTGAGAAACTTGCTGTTTCAGCAACATTTAATTAAAAAACTGTACTTTTGAGGTTAAACAAATGTTCATAATTAATGTAAATAAATTACAAGTTAAAAGGGGCATGGACATTTCTCTTTTGTTTCGAAAAAATATCGAACCGTGAGACTAAAGTTTCGAACCGAACCGTGAATTTCCTGTATCGTTGCACCCCTACTAAAAAGTAAGTATAATTTACAATAAAAATTCATAATAACATTTAAAAGCAAGTCACATCCAAACAAGAGAGAGAGAGGGGAAAAACAGTAATTTAAAAGTTAAAGACATGAGTACAGTTGATTATAGTAGCAGGGCACACAGTCAGTTGTGTTATGGGACCTGCAGAAGGAATGAAAACTCTGGAATCCTGGTTAATAAGTTGATCCTTTCCTGCTTTATAAAAGGTCACTTGTTCCCCAACAGGACCAGAATCTCTCTGCACACTCAGCTTAGATTTGAACCCCCACCCACCTCTCTCTCTTTCTTTCTTTCTGACCAAACACACTTCATTATCTGCGGCTCTCAGGACAACACAAACCTCTGGTGGGAAATAAAGCACTGACTCCTACATGAGCTGGTGTTTTACGTGTGCAGCCGATCCTCTCTGTGTTTTCTTTCTTTAATTAGTGGTAAATTTAAGATTTTCCATCTTATCCTATCTGCAGTTTCCTATAGAGTGTGTTTTATTTGTCTGGATAAATATGACTGTGAGCACAACCTGTGTGTGTGTGTGTGTGTGTGTGTGTGTGTGTGTGTGTGTGTGTG